CATAACTGAAACGTACCCTTTTCGGGACTCGGTCTCTAGATCTCGGTATCGGCTGCACCAATTTTATTCGGACTGGTCGCAATCGAAAGATACCGATGACATTATATAATAAAAGTGTTTTTAGATTTTTGATTCTGCTTTTAAATTCTGAGTAATTTTAATCTAAAGTTTCAAGATGTGAAAACTCGAGATAAAGCTAGTGGTAGCGTCGTGAATTTTACATCGACATGAACATATACACACATCAAGTATCATGTCATCATGTCAATCAAACGGTTACATTTTTATTTTATGCACTTGGCGTCGCGACGCTACCGCGTCGCTTGATCCGTACTGTTATTGACAGTGACAACTTTATTAGAATGAAGCTCTGAATGCTCGTCCGCGGCGCGTGAGCGATCTCGACGCTACGTTGCCACATCGGCCCGCCGACTATGTTGCCATGCTGTGTCGACCTGCGATGCTATGAATCGCGTTGAGACTGGAGACCGCTCACGCGCCGCGGACGGGCATTCAGAGCTTCATTCAAATAAAGTTTTGACTGTCAATAACAGTACGGATTAAAATAAAAAAAATTCTCGTTATAGTTTAAGATCGGCCGAACATTTTCATTTTTTATTCATACTGATTGGATAAATAGTTCGTGAGAACAAAAATCGTAAATCTAGTCATTTTTCAAGCTCTGACATTTTCTATCTCGAAAATTATTGATTTTATCAAAAAAGTCTAAGAGACAAAAAATGTTCAGTTTGATCCAATTTAGCGTACAGAATTTTTTCGGAATTTTTGTTCAAAGTTTAGATTTTTTAAACAAAAAATTGTTTGTAACTTTTTAATGACAACTTCAACAAAGAAAGTATATATACATCCTTTTTCGCAGAATAATATAAGGAATCGGGTCTAACCATTTCCAGTCGCTAAAACGTTGAATTTAGATTTTAAAAAATCAAAACTTTGAACGAAAATTCCGAAAAATTCTGTACGCTAAATTGGATCAAATTGAACATTTTTTGTCTCCTCGACTTTTTTGATAAAATCAATAATTTTGGGGATAGAAAATGTCAGAGCTTGAAAAATGACTAGATTTATGATTTTCGTTCTCACGAACTAATTATCCAATCAGCACGAATAAAAAACGAAAATGTTCGGCCAATCTTAATGAGAATTTTTTTTATTTTAATCCGTACTGTTATTGACAGTGACAACTTTATTAGAATGAAGCTCTGAATGCTCGTCCGCGGCGCGTGAGCGATCTCGACGCTACGTTGCCACGTCGGCCCGCCGACTATGTTGCCATGCTGTGTCGACCTGTGATGCTATGAATCGCGTTGAAACTGGAGACCGCTCACGCGCCGCGGACGGGCATTCAGAGCTTCATTCAAATAAAGTTTTGACTGTCAATAACAGTACGGATTAAAATAAAAAAATTCTCGTTATAGTTTGAGATCGGCCGAACATTTTCATTTTTTATTCATACTGATTGGATAATTAGTTCGTGAGAACAAAAATCGTAAATCTAGTCATTTTTCAAGCTCTGACATTTTCTATCTCGAAAATTATTGATTTAATCAAAAAAGTCTAAGAGACAAAAAATGTTCAGTTTGATCCAATTTAGCGTACAGAATTTTTTCGGAATTTTTGTTCATAGTTTAGATGTTTTAAACAAAAAATTGTTTGTAACTTTTTAATGACCACTTCAACAAAGAAAGTGTATATACATCCTTTTTCACAGAATAATATAAGGAATCGAGTCTAATCATTTTCAGTCGCTAAAACGTTGGATTTAGATTTTAAAAAATCAAAACTTTGAACAAAAATTCCAAAAAAATTCTGTACGCTAAATTGGATCAAACTGAATATTTTTTATCTCTTAGACTTTTTTGATAAAATCAATAATTTTTGAGATAGAAAATGTCAGAGCTTGAAAAATGACTAGATTTACGATTTTTGTTCTCACGAACTAATTATCCAATCAGCACGAATAATAAACGAAAATGTTCGGCCAATCTTAAACTTTAATGAGAATTTTTTTTATTTTAATCCGTACTGTTGTTGATTGTAACATATATTAGGAAAGCGATGGGATGGAAATAACACAAAGGAAATCGGCTTAAATAACACACGCCTTTTATATCGGATAATAATACAATGAAGAACTAGCCGTGAACTAGCAGACTAATAATAACTCGTCGCCACAGATGGCGCTAACCCTCAAACTATAATTTACCATTTCTAACATTCCTCCCACCAAAACTGTAAAAGAGGGTATACAACTAATGTCTATATCGTTCAGGCGTTTTCACGCACCGTCCACTTCTGGTACGGACGGGGTTGTGGAAAGTTTGTGGATCTGGTTCCGGTTTATCTTCTGGGTCCTGGCATATTTCTTCCACATTCTCTTCCTTCGTTTCCTCTGCCATCTCTAGCGGGTATAAATGCTGGATAGGTCGTACCAATTCCCCGGTAGTTGTTTTCACTTTTGCTACTCTTATGATGTTGTCCTTGCCAGGATAAACCTCGGTTATACGAGCTAACGGCCAATCTAGTCGTTTACGATTATTTGAACCTATCAGGACGATATCTCCAACTTTCAAAGGTACGTTATGGCCTCTAATCTTTCTTTCAGCTAATTGTCCTAGATATTCCGAACGGAAACGTCTGCGTAATTCATCACGTAAACTCTGACAATATCTCATACGTCTATTGAGATTGACTTCTATCTTGTCTAGATCTGAAACGTTGTTCTGAGTTACTTCCTGTAAAAACATTGCTGGCGTTAACGGTTTCAGCTGTGTTGTATCTTCTGCTAAGTACGTCAAAGGACGTGAATTAATGACAGCTTCCACGTCGCATAATACAGTATTTAATTCCTCGTAGTATAGACAGGCTTTTTTTAATGTCCGTTTCAGTAGGTCTTTTACTATCCGAACAAGACGTTCCCACCATCCTCCCCACCAGGCTGCTGTAGGAGGATTGAGACGCCAACTTATTTTTTGACAACTGCTAAATTGTTTAATTTTCTCCCAATCTATCTTCTTTAGTAAATTACGGGTTCCTACAAAGTTGGTACCATTATCTGTATAGATGATGGAAGGTTTTCCTCTTCGTGCGATAAATCTTCGAAAAACTTGTAGAAAAGCTTCTGTTGAAAGCGATGTGGTGAGTTCTAAGTGAACCGCTCTATATACAGCACACGTAAATAGACAGATCCACGCCTTTTGATTCTTCCTTATAAACAAAGGTCCTATATAATCAATACCTGTAATCTCAAACACTTTAGCCTCCTTTATACGTTCTTGAGGTAGACACCCGGGTATGGCGTCTGCCCTTTTGGCTCTATGACGTTTGCATGTCCAACAACTATTTATCACTGATCGTACGGCCATTCTACAAGAACGTATCCAAAAGGTTTCTCTTAAATTACTCATTACGGTTTGAGTTCCAGCATGCTTAAGTTGTTGATGTCTATACTCAATTAGTTTCTTAACTAAAGCATGTTTAGGGTCCAATAGAATGGGGTGTCGAAAGTCATACTCATCGATGCGATTTGTTATCGACGATCTTAGGCGTAGCAAGCCGTTCTCATCCGTGTATATATCTAGTGTGCTGAGCCATTTCTCATTTTCTTTGTTGAAAGATTCCTCTTGAACTAATCTAAAAACTGTCAGTTCCGCCTTGGTAAATTCCTCTACTGATAATTCTCCTGTTAGTTTTGAAGTTTGCGGAGCTCGACAATTAATCAAGAACCGACGAACCCAAGCTGTAGTTCTCACTATTCTAAGATATTTGGATTGATTTTTCATATACCACCCGGCTTCCTGTATAGTGGATATGCTTGCATTAATTTCTATTCTGTTATTGCTGTTTGATTTCTTAGTTTCCATATTGATCTCTGTTTCGTTTTCGTTGTAGTCTGATGAGGGCCATTGTTCTTCTGGTAACTTGAGCCACGCCGGGCCTTCCCACCATCGCGATTCCACTAACTGCTTCGCCTTGCAACCTCTTGAAGGCAAGTCAGCGGGGTTCATAGATCCGGGTACGTGACGCCATTGTTGTGGATTAGATATTAAACGTATCTCCTTGACTCTATTTTCCACAAACGTGTTCCACTGTTTGTTCTTCTGTATCCATGCCAAAACAGTTGTGGAATCCGACCAATATAAAACTTCTGCGTCTCCGTAATCTTCTGTATCCTTTATTGAGTTCCAGAGTCTGGCTCCTATGGTGGCAGCAAGTAGTTCCAAACGTGGGATGGTTATCTTTATGGTAGGTGTCACTCGGGATTTTGCTTGTATGAGCTGTACATACACGTTGTCTAGTGTCTGCGTCCGTGCGAAGACAGCAGCTGCATACGCTTCTTGACTAGCGTCTGTAAATATGTGAAAAGATATCTTGCCTCCCTCTGGACCGAATGCCCATCGTGGTATACAGAGCTCTTTTAACCAATGGAGTTGTTGTAACCAATTATTGAAGTCAGTCTTTACCTCTTCTGGAACCTCGTCATCCCAGCCGATTTTACATGACCAGAGTTTCTGCAACAAAAGTTTAGGTTCTAATGATATAGGGGCAGAAACGCCTATGGGATCGTAAACTCTTTGAGCCGCTGCTAAAATATGTCTCTTCGTGACTTGATGCGTTGTTTGCGACTCCAACGTTGTAGGTGTCAACTTCAGCGTATCTCGTTTTTTGTTCCACAGTAAGCCAAGCACTGAAGTCCACTCGGGGTTTTCCTCTTGTCCCGTATATTCCCATCCTCGTAAATCAAATTTGCCTTCTGCCATGATACGTCTTGCGGTGATCTCGAATTCTATAGCTTCATTTCTTGAATTAACACTGGTCACACAGTTGTCTACATAGAATGATCTCTTCAATTGACAAATGAAATTCTTTTCCTTTTTATTTTCTGTCTTCTGTGATACTCTTTCTAGATGGTATTCGATGGTTCCTCCGAGAAGAAAAGGACTGCAAGAGGCTCCGAAAATTACTCGCCGATGTCTATATACCTCTATCTCTTGCGAAAGAATTTTACTCCACCATAAAAAACGTAGTACATCTCTGTCACTTGGCGTAATGCTTATCTGTAGGAAGGCTCTTCGTATATCTGACGTCAGTCCCACTGCACGTCGTCTGAAGCGCAACAAAATTTTCGGAATTAATTCAATCAGATTGGGACCTTTTTCTAAACAGTGATTAAGTGATAGCGTATTTTCTCCTCTAGCTGATGCATCAAACACGGGCCTTAACTTTGTAGTGCTATTTTCTTTAGTGACGCCTCTATGAGGTAGGTAATAGGATTCTTTTTCTACTTCTTTATACGGTACCTTTTCTATAATGCCTTCCTCAAGCCAATCATCAAAAATTTCTTGATATGCGTCATACAAGCCTAGTGTTTTAAGTTTCTTAGTAGTAGTTGCAAGTCGTCTCACTGCTGATTTCTTGTTATCCGTTAAGGGCAAATGATCTTCTTTCCAAGGAAGCAATACTTCATAACGGCTCTCTTCATTTACTTTGATGGTTTGCCAGAAGTTCTCTTTAACCTCTGTTTGTCGGACGTCTTCCGATTTCTTCACAATTGGATCTGTAATACCTAGTGTATCCAATTTCCATAAATCTGCAACATTTTCCACCTCGGTGAACATAGATACAACTGTAAGTGTCGTGTCTTCTTTAGGATTCGTTTGTGTATCTACTTTACCCATCAGCGTCCATCCGAGTAATGTTTCGAAAGCTATGATTCCACTCTTAAGCACTTTTCTTCTTCCTGTTAGAAGTTTTCCAGCGATATCTGCGCCTATCAGTATGCCGATCGACTCGTTTCTTGTGTTAATATCGGTAATCTTGATTCCATCTTGTTGTAGCTCTTGTAACCATGGTCCTTTACTAACTGAAGGTACCTTTTCACATATAGATTTTTGATTTAATGCTATAAAGTCACAAGAGTACGATTCATCCAAGCTTTTAACGTAAACACGATATCCTTTGTGTGTCGACGGACTTGATTTTGCACCTCCGAATAACATGTGTACAATAAGTTGCTCGCCCATGATCTCGAATTCCATCTTTTCGGCATAATAGTCAGTAATATATGACCTATGTGACCCGGTGTCAATAATAGCTCTAACCACCTGTTCTTTGCCTTGATGTACTAGTTTGACTCGAAGTGTCTGCAGAAATACTTCTCCTGTAAAAGAAATGTTAGCGAGCGTTGATTGTTCTTGTGTACAGGCAGATTCTTTTGTTTGCTTGTTTTCCATAGGAGCATTCGAAGTTGTACCGCGACACATAATTAGCACATGCCTTTTGCCGCACCATTCGCATTTTCCTCTATATCGGCAATATTTACAACTGTGCCCTGTTTTAACGCAATAAAAACAAGCGTTTTTCTCTTTAACGATCTTGGATCTATCTTCATATGACATCTTCTTAGCCTTGATACATGAAGTGCTGTCGTGTTCTTGTTCACAAAATATGCAACGAAGTGTCTTGTTTTCTTTAGTTGCAATTAATCCTGCAGCTGTAGCGATCTCTTTTGGCTCCGTTTTTGTCTTTTTCTTATACTTGTCCTGATTTGATGCTTCTTTGCTTATGCCAAAGCCACTCATTGCCATCGCAATTCTATCTTCGCTCATCATCTCTGTATGTAGAAAGGACATCAATTCTTCCAAACGTTGTTTAGATGTAATAGCGTTGAGTGCTCTTGCATCACGTTGCCATACGCGTAAGAGATCCTCTGGCAGTGATGATTCTACTAGCGGATACAATATTGCAGCGCACATGTCCGTAGTAACTCCTAGTGATTCTAAAGCTCTAAGTTGTGTTTCGAGTTTGTCATATATATTAGATAAAGAGGTAGAATTCGATTTAGCTGACTGATTCAATACTAACTTGAGCATCTCTCGTATATAGACCTCCACCAATAAATCTTCTCTTCCATAACGTGCTTTTAAACTCGAAATAACCTTGTCGTAATTCGTAGCTGTCGGAGGGAAACTGTTTACTAACATACTTGCTCGAGAGTCTTTAACCATCGCTTGGATCAAATACTGGAATTTGTCCTCCTTGGTTATGTTCGTATCTTCATGGATGTGCTTGAAAAGACTCCAGAACTGTAACCAATCTTTAAGCTCTCCGCCAAATTGCGGCAGTTGTATTTTGGGCAATTTATACGTACGCGTATTATCTCTATAAACTTGTGTTACTTGCCCGCCATCCGATGTATGAGCTGCCGGTTGTGTCGATTCCAATATATTATTGACTGCGAGCTTTGCCTGCTGGTATTTCATCCGATATTCATCCGCTACATCCGTTTCTTGTACTAACTCTTGCTCGTCCGCCTCGCTGTCTGCCATAACCTCGAAGAGCTTTTGGTTCATTTCTTCGAGTTGACTCGCCTTATCTCTTACAATCGCGAGACGTGCTTGTAATTCTGCGTAATCTGGTCTCTCTTTTTCCAACTCCTTGTATAATGAACTCAGATTACGTGTAAATGCTGTGCGGATAGCAGCGCGTGTTTTCCTCATCTTCTCCATCTCGTCCTCTTTTTTTTATTATTTCACGTAAAATATGTCACACAACTAAAGAAGAAGTCCTGTCACACGGTCGCCACTAATGTAACATATATTAGGAAAGCGATGGGATGGAAATAACACAAAGGAAATCGGCTTAAATAACACACGCCTTTTATATCGGATAATAATACAATGAAGAACTAGCCGTGAACTAGCAGACTAATAATAACTCGTCGCCACAGATGGCGCTAACCCTCAAACTATAATTTACCATTTCTAACATTCCTCCCACCAAAACTGTAAAAGAGGGTATACAACTAATGTCTATATCGTTCAGGCGTTTTCACGCACCGTCCACTTCTGGTACGGACGGGGTTGTGGAAAGTTTGTGGATCTGGTTCCGGTTTATCTTCTGGGTCCTGGCATATTTCTTCCACATTCTCTTCCTTCGTTTCCTCTGCCATCTCTAGCGGGTATAAATGCTGGATAGGTCGTACCAATTCCCCGGTAGTTGTTTTCACTTTTGCTACTCTTATGATGTTGTCCTTGCCAGGATAAACCTCGGTTATACGAGCTAACGGCCAATCTAGTCGTTTACGATTATTTGAACCTATCAGGACGATATCTCCAACTTTCAAAGGTACGTTATGGCCTCTAATCTTTCTTTCAGCTAATTGTCCTAGATATTCCGAACGGAAACGTCTGCGTAATTCATCACGTAAACTCTGACAATATCTCATACGTCTATTGAGATTGACTTCTATCTTGTCTAGATCTGAAACGTTGTTCTGAGTTACTTCCTGTAAAAACATTGCTGGCGTTAACGGTTTCAGCTGTGTTGTATCTTCTGCTAAGTACGTCAAAGGACGTGAATTAATGACAGCTTCCACGTCGCATAATACAGTATTTAATTCCTCGTAGTATAGACAGGCTTTTTTTAATGTCCGTTTCAGTAGGTCTTTTACTATCCGAACAAGACGTTCCCACCATCCTCCCCACCAGGCTGCTGTAGGAGGATTGAGACGCCAACTTATTTTTTGACAACTGCTAAATTGTTTAATTTTCTCCCAATCTATCTTCTTTAGTAAATTACGGGTTCCTACAAAGTTGGTACCATTATCTGTATAGATGATGGAAGGTTTTCCTCTTCGTGCGATAAATCTTCGAAAAACTTGTAGAAAAGCTTCTGTTGAAAGCGATGTGGTGAGTTCTAAGTGAACCGCTCTATATACAGCACACGTAAATAGACAGATCCACGCCTTTTGATTCTTCCTTATAAACAAAGGTCCTATATAATCAATACCTGTAATCTCAAACACTTTAGCCTCCTTTATACGTTCTTGAGGTAGACACCCGGGTATGGCGTCTGCCCTTTTGGCTCTATGACGTTTGCATGTCCAACAACTATTTATCACTGATCGTACGGCCATTCTACAAGAACGTATCCAAAAGGTTTCTCTTAAATTACTCATTACGGTTTGAGTTCCAGCATGCTTAAGTTGTTGATGTCTATACTCAATTAGTTTCTTAACTAAAGCATGTTTAGGGTCCAATAGAATGGGGTGTCGAAAGTCATACTCATCGATGCGATTTGTTATCGACGATCTTAGGCGTAGCAAGCCGTTCTCATCCGTGTATATATCTAGTGTGCTGAGCCATTTCTCATTTTCTTTGTTGAAAGATTCCTCTTGAACTAATCTAAAAACTGTCAGTTCCGCCTTGGTAAATTCCTCTACTGATAATTCTCCTGTTAGTTTTGAAGTTTGCGGAGCTCGACAATTAATCAAGAACCGACGAACCCAAGCTGTAGTTCTCACTATTCTAAGATATTTGGATTGATTTTTCATATACCACCCGGCTTCCTGTATAGTGGATATGCTTGCATTAATTTCTATTCTGTTATTGCTGTTTGATTTCTTAGTTTCCATATTGATCTCTGTTTCGTTTTCGTTGTAGTCTGATGAGGGCCATTGTTCTTCTGGTAACTTGAGCCACGCCGGGCCTTCCCACCATCGCGATTCCACTAACTGCTTCGCCTTGCAACCTCTTGAAGGCAAGTCAGCGGGGTTCATAGATCCGGGTACGTGACGCCATTGTTGTGGATTAGATATTAAACGTATCTCCTTGACTCTATTTTCCACAAACGTGTTCCACTGTTTGTTCTTCTGTATCCATGCCAAAACAGTTGTGGAATCCGACCAAAAGAAAACTTCTGCGTCTCCGTAATCTTCTGTATCCTTTATTGAGTTCCAGAGTCTGGCTCCTATGGTGGCAGCAAGTAGTTCCAAACGTGGGATGGTTATCTTTATGGTAGGTGTCACTCGGGATTTTGCTTGTATGAGCTGTACATACACGTTGTCTAGTGTCTGCGTCCGTGCGAAGACAGCAGCTGCATACGCTTCTTGACTAGCGTCTGTAAATATGTGAAAAGATATCTTGCCTCCCTCTGGACCGAATGCCCATCGTGGTATACAGAGCTCTTTTAACCAATGGAGTTGTTGTAACCAATTATTGAAGTCAGTCTTTACCTCTTCTGGAACCTCGTCATCCCAGCCGATTTTACATGACCAGAGTTTCTGCAACAAAAGTTTAGGTTCTAATGATATAGGGGCAGAAACGCCTATGGGATCGTAAACTCTTTGAGCCGCTGCTAAAATATGTCTCTTCGTGACTTGATGCGTTGTTTGCGACTCCAACGTTGTAGGTGTCAACTTCAGCGTATCTCGTTTTTTGTTCCACAGTAAGCCAAGCACTGAAGTCCACTCGGGGTTTTCCTCTTGTCCCGTATATTCCCATCCTCGTAAATCAAATTTGCCTTCTGCCATGATACGTCTTGCGGTGATCTCGAATTCTATAGCTTCATTTCTTGAATTAACACTGGTCACACAGTTGTCTACATAGAATGATCTCTTCAATTGACAAATGAAATTCTTTTCCTTTTTATTTTCTGTCTTCTGTGATACTCTTTCTAGATGGTATTCGATGGTTCCTCCGAGAAGAAAAGGACTGCAAGAGGCTCCGAAAATTACTCGCCGATGTCTATATACCTCTATCTCTTGCGAAAGAATTTTACTCCACCATAAAAAACGTAGTACATCTCTGTCACTTGGCGTAATGCTTATCTGTAGGAAGGCTCTTCGTATATCTGACGTCAGTCCCACTGCACGTCGTCTGAAGCGCAACAAAATTTTCGGAATTAATTCAATCAGATTGGGACCTTTTTCTAAACAGTGATTAAGTGATAGCGTATTTTCTCCTCTAGCTGATGCATCAAACACGGGCCTTAACTTTGTAGTGCTATTTTCTTTAGTGACGCCTCTATGAGGTAGGTAATAGGATTCTTTTTCTACTTCTTTATACGGTACCTTTTCTATAATGCCTTCCTCAAGCCAATCATCAAAAATTTCTTGATATGCGTCATACAAGCCTAGTGTTTTAAGTTTCTTAGTAGTAGTTGCAAGTCGTCTCACTGCTGATTTCTTGTTATCCGTTAAGGGCAAATGATCTTCTTTCCAAGGAAGCAATACTTCATAACGGCTCTCTTCATTTACTTTGATGGTTTGCCAGAAGTTCTCTTTAACCTCTGTTTGTCGGACGTCTTCCGATTTCTTCACAATTGGATCTGTAATACCTAGTGTATCCAATTTCCATAAATCTGCAACATTTTCCACCTCGGTGAACATAGATACAACTGTAAGTGTCGTGTCTTCTTTAGGATTCGTTTGTGTATCTACTTTACCCATCAGCGTCCATCCGAGTAATGTTTCGAAAGCTATGATTCCACTCTTAAGCACTTTTCTTCTTCCTGTTAGAAGTTTTCCAGCGATATCTGCGCCTATCAGTATGCCGATCGACTCGTTTCTTGTGTTAATATCGGTAATCTTGATTCCATCTTGTTGTAGCTCTTGTAACCATGGTCCTTTACTAACTGAAGGTACCTTTTCACATATAGATTTTTGATTTAATGCTATAAAGTCACAAGAGTACGATTCATCCAAGCTTTTAACGTAAACACGATATCCTTTGTGTGTCGACGGACTTGATTTTGCACCTCCGAATAACATGTGTACAATAAGTTGCTCGCCCATGATCTCGAATTCCATCTTTTCGGCATAATAGTCAGTAATATATGACCTATGTGACCCGGTGTCAATAATAGCTCTAACCACCTGTTCTTTGCCTTGATGTACTAGTTTGACTCGAAGTGTCTGCAGAAATACTTCTCCTGTAAAAGAAATGTTAGCGAGCGTTGATTGTTCTTGTGTACAGGCAGATTCTTTTGTTTGCTTGTTTTCCATAGGAGCATTCGAAGTTGTACCGCGACACATAATTAGCACATGCCTTTTGCCGCACCATTCGCATTTTCCTCTATATCGGCAATATTTACAACTGTGCCCTGTTTTAACGCAATAAAAACAAGCGTTTTTCTCTTTAACGATCTTGGATCTATCTTCATATGACATCTTCTTAGCCTTGATACATGAAGTGCTGTCGTGTTCTTGTTCACAAAATATGCAACGAAGTGTCTTGTTTTCTTTAGTTGCAATTAATCCTGCAGCTGTAGCGATCTCTTTTGGCTCCGTTTTTGTCTTTTTCTTATACTTGTCCTGATTTGATGCTTCTTTGCTTATGCCAAAGCCACTCATTGCCATCGCAATTCTATCTTCGCTCATCATCTCTGTATGTAGAAAGGACATCAATTCTTCCAAACGTTGTTTAGATGTAATAGCGTTGAGTGCTCTTGCATCACGTTGCCATACGCGTAAGAGATCCTCTGGCAGTGATGATTCTACTAGCGGATACAATATTGCAGCGCACATGTCCGTAGTAACTCCTAGTGATTCTAAAGCTCTAAGTTGTGTTTCGAGTTTGTCATATATATTAGATAAAGAGGTAGAATTCGATTTAGCTGACTGATTCAATACTAACTTGAGCATCTCTCGTATATAGACCTCCACCAATAAATCTTCTCTTCCATAACGTGCTTTTAAACTCGAAATAACCTTGTCGTAATTCGTAGC